TGACTTTTTTCACAAAAACAAAAATTTAAGTTATAACATTCTAACATATTTTGTGTTGATTAAACCATAGTTAAATCATCGATAATAACCATAAGGATAACCACCGTAAACAGGAACAAAGTAATTGCCTATTCCATTCCCACCAGAGAGGTAATTGTTGATTCCATTCCCACCACCATTATCATCTTTTAGTACAGCCTTTTTGACCTCCACAAGCTTCCCACATAATTCATGGAAACTTTTTTGCATAACTTGTTCAACAGAATCTTTAGAATCAAAAGTGATAAAACTAAAACCTCTTGGCCTATGTGTTATGTTGTCACGCATCACAACTACATCTGTAATTCTACCGAATTTTTCAAAATAGACCTTAGGTAACCCCCTACAAAAATCTTCATAGTTTTTATATTATTGTTGCTAATAATAACATCGTTAGTTTTACCTTTTTTATTTAATCTGTTTTGGTTGTATTCGTGTCTTGGTACAACCTTTTTCACTTCAACCTGTTAAGAATCAGAAAGCATATGTCAAAAAGGATCATCTTAATTCAATTAAACCGTGAAACAATTTAGTCAAGGATTATCTTGAACAACAACATGCAAATATATTGATGGATTTTTCATGCGATTTAGGGAGTAATATGAAATCAAACAGACTAATTAAGCAAATTAGAAGTAATAAGTAGGGGATTACAGAAAACAAACCGTTCTCCCAAGAATCCTATGTGTATTAAGAAGAACTTCATTCAAAGCGGATGCTTTAGAGAAGGAAATAAACGCAAATCAACGCAAATCCACAAGAACTTCCAGTGATTCTATGCAAATCCACGAGAAGTTCCAATGATTCTATCTTTAGCAATTACAACGTCCATAACCTTTCTATACTTTCCGAAGTGTTCTCTCAACACATCCTCTGTTGTTTCCCATGATAACCCACCCACAAATACCTTGCTTTGATCACAACCCTCCATTTTGTTCCTAAACTTTAATAAAGCAGAAAAGAATCTACCTACACATAAACAAATCCTGTGTTTCAGGCGAAACCAATACAGGGGTTTTGGTGTTGAAAAAGCTTGGAATTTGCCCTAAATCAAAGAATTAGGTTGGAATTTAACCGACAACAACAATCTTCGATCAGTAAGAAGGGAGTAGTCGAGCGGGAGCAGGAATCGTATAAATAAATAGGTTGGCTTTAATTTTGGAATGGATTTCCATGAAATAGGTTTTGATCTTGCTAATTAGTAGCAAAAAGACTCTGTATTGCTGATTTCTCGAATTTGTTTTCTGATTTTTTGGGATGTACGTGGATGTGAACGAGAAACCAATCATTGGAAGATTAAGAGGCAGACACATGACAGTTAAAGACTTTGACACATGATAGTAGGAGATTGAAGTTATTTATTTATTAGAAAGGTGATAAGAAATTAAAAAATCCTTTAGTTGAACTCTTGTCAACCATAAATACTTAATCCTCTTATAAATAATAGAGATCGTCGTATAATAATAAAATAATTTTTTAGTCTTTCGCACACTAAAGAGTCACTTCTTTTTAATCCATCTATTGATACGTAATTTTCATATTATATTTTCCTACTTTTGTACCTTTACTATATATTTTTGTTATTGTATTATAATATCTAATAAAAAAGTTATGCAAGATAATGCCAAACAACTACCTTAATGACTTTTTATATGCTTAATGTAAAAAAGAAATACATTTCGTGTCCAATATATATATATGGGGATAGGGAATATACATTACAGCCCCACCTAAGCTTAGGTACTAAACTTCTAAAATATGTCGTTTTAACATGCTAAATATACCCAGTTTGGTTTCACTTGGTAAATATATCATCCTCCACAACATTTCTTTCTTTCATTATCGTTTTACCATCTCTGTTTTCTTTCCTCAATTATCGTTTATTACTTCACCCAAGTGAACATTACTAAACCCTAAACCTAAACCCTAAACCCTAAAATTTAAACCCTAAACCCTAAACCCTAAATCTAAACCCTAAACCTTAAACCCTAAACCCTAAACCAAAACACTAAACCCTAAATCTAAACCCTAAACCCTAAACCCTAAATCCTAAACCCTAAACCCTAAATCTAAACCCTAAACCCTAAACCCTAAATCCTAAACCCTAAACCCTAAATCTAAACCCTAAACCCTATTGTGTCGATCTTGAATTTACATCTTGAAGTATTAATCGTGAATCCATTAACCGTAATCTTTATATAGTAAAACAATGTATTTTCAAGAGGTTTAGTACCTAAGCTTAGGTGGGGCTGTAATGTATATTCCCTTTTCCATATATATATATATATATATATATATATATATATATCATAATCGTATAACTATTATTTTTTCATTAGTTTAATTTTATCTATTAACATGTTAAATGTTGTTACTAATATCTCATCATCAATATAGAATAAGAATAGTCAAAATTAAATCGAGAAATGTCATTCAACCTAGAACCTTATGTATTCATATAGAAAAAAGTGACGAAAAAAAAAACAAAGGACATAATTTCGTGGAAAATGATATTTTGCTCCTTTCATTTCCATGCTAAATAAAATACGTAGAGCAGTGAAAGCTACTGTTACTTTTCTTAGGAAATATTACTTTTATATGATCAAAAAGATAACCCCTAGGCAAGTAAAACGTAACGCCTCGGAAAATCAAAAGTTTTATAGGGACTAATTAAATGTAGTTTATATCACCCATAATTTTCACTTGTAAATATATTTAAACGTCTTATATAATATATTTATATATTATAAATGTGATCAGACACATGTATAGTCTCTCCCCCATAAAAAATTATTGTCCTTAATTTTTTTTCAGTGTTATGAGATTACATCTCTTACCATTTTTTACTATTTCAATAATTTCACCAAACAAGAAGTTTGATATTCCAGAAGCAAAGGCATACATATTTTTAAACCATATTATTACCCACAAAAAAGCCACATATTTCCAACCATGACAAAATCACATTGCCCATAACAAAAGCAACATGTTTTTAAACATCGTCACTGATTAAGAAAGCTATACAAATAAAAACAATCACATTTTTTTTTTACAAAATACAAACCTAACCTCACCATTCTTGATTAAAAAGGAAAAAATACATTATTCAGATGTTACAGTTGGTTAAAACAATGACAAACTTCACATTTCGAAACCTGGAAACATACACACACATAGTTAAAACAAAAACATGCAAACACAAAAAGAGGGTAGAGAGACCTTTGTGGTTGAGGTTGTTATAGAACGACAATCAAAAGCTTGCAATGAAACCTGTAACCTTATACACACATTGTTAAACATAAAAGGCAAACAAAAGAGATGGTAGAGAGAAAGATCTTTGTGGTATCATGATGGTGTAGACCCAAGTAGACAATCAAAAGCAAGAAAAATGAAATCACAAACCTTGATGAGAGAGTGAATGGGTTGACAGAGACAGAAGACGGTGGAGGGGTGTCGTCAGTGGTAAGGGGTAGAAGTGTTGGAGGCAGCATCAGTTGGAGGTAACAGTGGTCGGATGTGATGGAGTTTAAGGTCTCTAGGTTTTTCATAAATATTGTGAGATAGAATGGTACCCATAAAAAAAATGAGAGAGAGAAAGATGGTGACTCTAAATATGGAGTCTTCAAGTGAAGATTTTATAACGTGTGCTTCTTGTATTTGTGTTTTCTCAAGCATAACTGATGGTACATATTGCAATAAGACTAATACATATTTTGTGATTGGTTTAATTCTATTCACATGGATCACCATCAATTTTTTAATCACAACCATACAAATAAATCCAATGGATCAAAATCAAGCTCCTTATTTTTAAGACTTTAGTCTTAAAAACCTTTGGTTTCCTATTATAAATGCATTATAAAGTAGTATGATATATATATATATATATATATATATATATATATATATATATATATATATATATATATATATATTAATTTCTTAATAAATTAACACATTATTAAATTTCATTTCCTTATGTTATTTGAGTCATGAAGCCAATCCAAAAAGACTCTGCTACTATTAGAAATATTATCAACGATTTTGTTAGTATTTTGGGTGTGAGGCGAAAATTATAAAGTGGATTTAAATATGAATTTGTTATTGAATCAAGTAAGACTTTGACAAGTGATCGATTTAAATAATTGATTTGAGAATGATTGGATTGACTCGAGCTTTAGTTCGAGTAGGATTTAACACTACCAATATTCAAAGCAAAAGAACTAGATACCTAATTTTGATTACTTAGGTTTTGTGATGCTTATCAAATACATTAAAACTTTTGGTTTTGTTCCAAAAAATCAAAGCAAGAAGATGACGATGAAACTAGTTACAGAGCTTTAGGTTTTACTCCAAAAATCATCGCAATCTCCTTTCTTTTAGATGAGATTTTGAAGTTCAATCTATTAATCAATATTTGGGAATTTATGAAAAATGTAAGTCTATTGCTAAAGTAAATATTTAAAATTATTAAAATTTATAATTTTAATTTTAATTTTTTTTTTTGACAAATATGATATTTTTAAGTTTATAAAAAATAAATATAATATTTAATGTTTTGATTGGATAAATATAATACTTTAATTTTTAATAAATACATAAGAAATTCTACCATTATAATCGAACCATGACGACCATATCATAATTTCAGTCTCTTTCAGGATCATCAAAACAAACACGTTTTAAAGCATCCATTTCATTAGTAAAGTATGATAATAAAATATTGTCATTTAGCAATCAACACAAAACATAATTCCAACATAGGACATCAAATTATGTATAGTTTTCGCTTCTTGATGGACCCGTTTATTTGTTTCCTATCCAAACATCTTCTCATGATATCAAAATCCATACTTTTTGTTACTCATTCGTCCTTCGTTCTATTTTAATTTCAAATGTCACTTAAATATAAATAACTAAATTTTCTGTTTAAACTTGTATAAATCGTTAAAAAATTAGTTGTTGTAACATAAATTTTTCGAATCCAACCCTTACATGTGTACACTGTTAAATGAATTTCCACAATATATCAATACACATAAAGTAAAATTTCATCTATCTAATCTATTAATAATGGTACAATCCATAAATTTGTATCACTACCGAGTCAACTTAACTCACAAGCTTTTGATTTCACCATCATTATCTCCAACACTACAATGATCCTTCACTTCACAACCCTCTTCCGGTTCAATGACATTTTCACCCTCGCAAATTTCAGTGTCCCCACATTCAGACCCGGAGCTACCATCCATGTCTTTTTCCGGCGAGTCGAGTTGCACACACTCAACCGCCGAGTCAGACGGAGAGTTATTCTCCGAGTCATGACTCCTATTCGACGGTGTCAAATCCCCTTTCCTCACCACATTAAACACAATCCCATTATGAATCCTCTCCGGCTGCAAAAGATCACCCGCCGCCACCGTGATGCTACCACTGCCAACTCTAGCAGCACCAGCATCACGGTGGTCAGATTCCGGATCAGAGATCCGGTCAGGCGGGATCACCCGTAAGTTCTGATAAACCATAATCGCCTTATTCATTTTCGAATCCGAATCCAAATTTTGCACGAATTCCACAAACTGATCGGCTGAAGTTGTTCGCATTAACGGACCGCCGGATCTCGTCCATGAAGTCACCTCGGCGGCGCTCTCGGACTCGCTGTCGCTTCCGTCATGGTTGCGGTGATGCCGCCAGTTTCTGCCGCCGTGGTGGAGGACGTCGGCGAGGTCGTCTTCAAGGGACCCAGTGGAGTTTTCGCGGGCGATGCAGTTCCATGACGGGATTCGTTTGGAGGCGTTGAATCGGACGGGATTTGAGGAGCTGTGAGATTGAGAGGCGGCTGCGGCTCTTTCGGCGCTTCGTTTTAGTCGGCGCATGTGATTTAGAATTGCCACGCATTCATCCAGAGCCAATTCGATTCCACAATTCGCTTTTATTGCTGACAACTTTTCCCATGTGCATCTACGACCTTGATTCGCGGCTTTTTGAAGCTCTAAATGAGATGGATTTTGTATGATTTTTGAATACTGAGCCAACGTGGCAGGCATAACAACGGTGACGTCACCCTCCCAATCTTGAGCAAATAGCTTCGCAAGTCCACCTAAAGGAAACCCAAGCTCCAACACCTGATTGCATCTGTGTTTCACCTCCATCTCAACAAGATGTGCAAGCTGCATTAAACAATAACAAAACACGTGTCCTTAAATCAAAATCCACCTCAGCAATTGAACAAATTACTAATTACTAATTTCAATTTATATACCTTTGCAGCGAAATTGCCTCCATAAGCTCTGATAAACTCTTTCAATCGAAGTAAAGGTGCAATATGCGGATTCGCTTGACTAACAATAAAATGATTCACATTAAACAATTCTTTTAATTGAATCATCGGTAAATCAATCTCCAAACTCCCATCTCTCCACCGCCTAACGGAAGTCCCATCAACCTCCTCCGGCCCCCAATGAAACGGCGGATGATAGGGCACGATTTCACCACCTCTGTCTTTAGCCATTAATTCTTGAGCTTCGAAAAGACCCGGAAAAGCGCAAGAAGCAGTCACAGCGCTCCATATAACCACATGAGGTGAAGTCAAGTAGTTTAAACATCTTGGAGGCTCGTGTTTTCTTGGTGAACACACCGTGATTCCAAGAACACGGCCTGTCATATCGTAAGCTTCTTGGAAAGTTAAATTATTCGTTAAGTTTCTTAACAGAACCTGTAAATGTCGGATGTCGTGAAGTGCTCCTTGTGTCATTACCCTTTTGAAAACGTTGAAGATCCCACCCATTTGATCGAAGAACTGCAATGAATGCCATGAATCCTCGAAGAAACTTTGAAGCTCTGGCCATGATTTTGTGGCGACAACTGCACACATAATGGATCCGACGCTTGACCCGGCGATTATTCGGGGCATGAGTTTATGTTCTACGAGAGTTTTCACTACACCCACGTGAAAAGCTCCGAGAGAAGCGCCGCCGCTTAACAGTAAAGCTGTTCGGCCAAATGCGTGACGTGTCTCGTGCATAAACGCAAGCTTTTCTTCTAGAAGAAGCTCGTCGGAATCGGAATCACAAACCATTCTTAACTGTGTGGAGACTTCATCGATGTATTCTTTTATGAGCTTTGGAACCTGATGCCGGCCTTTATGAAGCTCCGGATTGCACATGTTGCCGAGGTTTCTGATTAGATCTGCTCGCATACAGAAAATGATGTCTCGAAGTGAACATTTCTTGACGTCTGTGTCTGAGTTCTTGGAATTTGTTTCTTACGAGTTCTTCATCGTAAAGGTCGCGTTCATTCAATTTGGGTGTTTCTTTATCTAACATCTTGGCAGCGTGAGCCCATTCTTCGTAGGTTAGCGCAGCCCTCATCATGTTTCGCCAGAATTTTCTCCGGTAAGCCATTTCGGCCTTTATTTTCACGTTTGTGTAGCGTTTTAGCAAGAAGGCGATTAGGGTTACTAATAGTAGGATTCCTTGTGGGTTGCGAGGATGTAACCATGAGATAATGGGTAGCGATATCTGATATGTATGTTCTAATTGTATCGAAGTAAAACGATAATATATGAAAGATTTGATGCCGGAAATGTGCCATTGACTTGCAGAATAGAACTCTGAAAGCAATTGTCCGGCCAAAGGCTGTTGATGGTCCGATTGAGAACCGATCAACGGTGGCCTCGTTACTGATATCCATTTTTTTAGTAGAATTTTGGTGCTGATTGTTGTATTCAGAGTAGCTGAAGTTAAAGTAATGATCCCTTACCACTAGCCCTAACTTCAAATCGAGATTTTGTTATAATTGACTAAACTCCCACACGGAAATATTGATCGTATTCCAGAAATTGAAATGAATATGAATAAGGATCGAGAATAGCTGACCTACAACAAATGAAATTTCCTCAAATTCGAGCTTGTGGAAGAACGCGATACCCCGGATCAGCGAAGAATGAAACGGTAAAGTAAGATCAAATTACAAGAACACTAACCCCGACGGATTGACGAAATCTACCCAGATCAAAATGGATTCGCGCGAAAATTTATGTTGGGAAGTGTGATAGAATTGAATTGATTGGAATGGATAATGCTTATGGGTTTAAAAGTTGAATTTAAAATGAAGGTATGGGATCTGAAAAGTGTATCAGAAGATGATCGGATAATCGAGATAACGATATATACACGATGAGGTGCACATGTATCACGTCATTCGGGAGTGTACGCATTATATAAACATGATGCAGTATTCAAACCAAATTTATTCAAAGTTGCGGATAAGAGAAGGAAAGGTATGCATCATCGGTGACTGTGCAAAAGATGACGGAGGTTTTCAAAATTTGGGGGATTGTATTTTTGTTGATCGGAAATTAGTCAATTAGGGCAAAATTGGTCATTGGATTTTGAATATTTGGGGTTTTTGGAAAAGGGTTTGTTAGCACTTTACACATATTTAAAACTTAAAGGAGCAAATTTATATATTTGACTAGTTTATAACTCATGAAACTACAAGTGATAAAATTTATTAAACTTTTATAATAAAAATTTATAATTATTAATCAATTATTTTAAATAAGTCATTTTAAATAAGTTATTAATTAAGAAATATATCAAAATTTTAAAGTTATTATAACTTCAAATTTAAATATAATTAAAAATGTAAATTTGAATTTTGAAATGAGTTGTCTAATATATCTACATGATACATTGCATAATATTAATGAAAAATTGTATTAGAGTGAAACTTGACAAAAAGATATTAAAACTATTCATTTATTAGAATAGAGATTTGCTTTTGTGTATTATGTTTGGGTTTAATTTATATATTTTTGACTTTTTAATAAGGATGCAAATATATACAATTTAAATTTTTATAAGATGGAAAACAAAATATCAAAATTTTCATAATCTCGTTTTTTTATTTATATTTTTATTTTTTTTATAATTTATATAAGATTATAATCATAAAATTGAAGTGAGATTAAAAAGTAAAATGGTTTCTCAGCGGTCCATAAAATAAAGAGAAAGTAAATAATCTTTTAACTTTTTTTTAATATGTATTTGAAAAAAAAATTAAACAAAAATAATCACTTAGTCCGGAGTGGGTATTCCGGACAAAAAAAACACATTTTTTTACCGATTTCGGAACGACATTCTAGATTCCGGAATAAACTTTCGGATTTTGAAAAGAAAAACCTCTGGAATTTCAAGTACAAGTCTGAAATCCGAAGAACAATTACGGAATTTCGAAAAAAAATGCTTAAAATTAACATAAAGTTAAACAAACATAGTAATGTGAATTATATATAATATGAGTGTATAAATTTAAATATTTTATTGAAAAACGATGACATTAAACAATTCAAAATGTAATATTCGGAATCCCAAAAAAACAATAAAAAGATTTCTTTGAAAATGATAATAATAAAAAAAATTCCAAAATATGAATAGTACTCCAGAATGAGTCATTCCGGGCCAAAGGGCTTCTAACATTGTGGTATCCGGTGTTGTCCTTTCTCCTTGAGGTCGCGAGTTCAAGTCTCGTTATGGACATAGATGGATTTAGACTATCTCCATTCACAACCCAATCCAACCCAATCATATATTAAAAAACTAATTTCTCTCTCTTCCACATCTTCAACTCAATTAACTCAATCTTTTACTCTCATTAGCAATCCAACCGAATCCAATTGTATATTAAAAAATATTTAAAAAAATATATCAATATTGGTATCATATCGTAGAGAAAAATTAATCACGTATTTTGATATATTTTATTTATTTATTTACTCAAAATAAAAAACAGTTACTAACAAAATTAGTTTTAATTACAAAAGTAATTTAACTCCACCACTAAATAGTATTATTAAAAAGAGGTGAGTTTTGGTGATCTTGGGTTGTGCATGTGGCCTAGTTCACCAAATATTTTTTAATTTTGATTTTCTTTTAATTTATATATGGTGAGCGGCTCACCAAAATCACCCCAATGGGGTAGTCTTAGGAGTAGTTTAGAAGTAGAATAGATTTGTTATTAAAAAAAAATGAGACATTCCGATGAAAATGGTTATTTTTCAAAATTTGATAAAAAAAAATGGTTAATTTCTTTGAAAACCTCATTTAAAATGGTTAGATTACTTAATTTCCTTAAAATAAAATAGATTCTTAGCCATCCATTGTGGTTTCTAGCACATAAGAGATGGTTCAATCTTTATATGATATGTTAAGACATTGTAGTATGTCACGTACTATCTTTTGGCCATCTTTTAATTAGAACATTAGGGACGTGAACTTTGAACCTTCTAAATCAAAAAGTTAGTATGTCTTACCTAATAAGTCATCAGATAGATGGTTATAAACAAAAATATATTATCTTTTTTCGTAGGAGCTGTTGTAATTTATATAAGCACAAATTATGCAAATTTAATTGACGCTTTAGACTTCAAAGTCCAAATTAATTTTGTAACATCCCAAACTCCAACCATAATTTTTTTGAAAATCATAGTGTAAGTTTACCAAAAGGTTTTAATCATAATCATTAATAAATATAAAGTTGTCTTTGCACGTCATATTAATACAAACATAATGAATTTGCGGGAGCTATGTTATGTTTTGAAAACCATAAAGTAATAAAGAACGTGTAGCTAGATGTCATGCCCCTTCGAGAATGTCCAGATATCCCAATCATGCCAACTCACTGCCCTTTGAACCTAAAGGACCTGCAACTAAAAAACATGAACTAGCAACTGTAAGCCTAAGGCTTAGTGAGTAAAGTCGGCAAAAATCGACCCAACCCGCCAACCCAACCCGAACCCAACCCAAAATTAACGGGTTGGGTTGAGATTTTCAACCCATTTGTAACACCCTGTTCGGGATCATTATGTGATTCAGGGTCATGGGTCGGAAGTCGATTGTGTAAACGCTTTGGGCCTTAAGGAGGCGATGTTTAAACCTTTTGGAATGAGGTAATGATGGTTATGAGATCTAAACCTTTGAATTGTGTTTTGGAGTCAAAGGGTAAAACGGGAAAAGTCATAGGCCAGGTTCTTGCATGAAATATGGATTTTTGTTCGAGAAGTTTTTAGTCCAAGATATTTAGATAATATTGTAGAGCTCTTCAATACCTTTCCGTGGATATAAAGATCGTCGAAAACGGAGTTGGAACGAAGAAGTTATGATTATTTGAAGTTAAGGCGGTTTTGGGGTTGAGCCGCGTACGCTGGGCGTACTCATAATGTACGATGGGCATACACGGGCATCCCTAGTAAGTTGGGCATAATTTGAGTACGTTTGGCGTACGCGATCAGTGCCCAAACCCTATTTTCGTGGTTTGAGCCCTGTTTAAGCTCCTTAACTTCCCCAAACTCATATCATTCTCATCCCCCACCTCTCCAACACCCTGTCTTATAACCCTAACCCTAGATTGAGCCTTGTGAGCAAAAAGATGGTGTTTTAAGTGTTTTTGGAGTGTTCTTGGTGCACTATGGAGAAGAAGGAACTCACTGAAGAAGTGTTGGTTGCATTGGATCTTATAGATCCAGATTTTGTTCACCTTGATCTTTCTTCTAGAGGTATAAAGTTTGAATCTTGATGATGAAATTGTTAGATCTAGCTAGTTTTGGGTGTTATGAGCTTTTGAACACTTTAACTGCATAAATTTTAGATCTTGAATGTTTGTGACCTTGTTATAGATAAAGTTGGAAACTTTATCCATCTAAACATCATTTGGTTTCAGATCTGATGGTTGGAGACTTGTACTTAATGGATTAAGTTAAAAAAGATGCACTTTTGGGTCCCTTTGAGATTTAAAGACTAGATCTTGTTTGTTGGGACCATTCTAATGGATAAAGATGGAAACTTTATCCCTTCCGTACAAGAATTATGATGTCTTATTGGGTTAAGAACTTAGGGTTTTGGACATTAAGCACTTTATAGCCATGCAAAGTCATAAAGTTGGAAACTCTATGACTTATGACATCATTTTGGGCTTCGAACTGAGTTTTGTACATAAGGGACTAATGGAATAAGCTCTTAATGAAGTTATGGAACTAGGATGTGTATGTTGGGCGTACCTGGTGGTACGCTGCGTACGTGGTCGACGCCCCGCTTTTGGTCGATATCAGAGTACGTTGGGGTGTACTCTCTTGGTACGCGGTCAGCGCCCCGCTTTTGGACCCTGACTGTAGACTTTGACCGAGTTTGACCTAAGGGCATTTTGGGTAATTTGGTTTATAGTTTAAGATCTGGGTTCTTGATAATTGTATAGGTGACCGGTAGAGATAGCTTTTAGAGCAGTGATTGGTGCAACTATTCTTTCAGGCTGTGAGGTGAGTTTTCTTACTATATCCATGGGTCGAAGGCACCAATGACGGCCCATTACTTGTTATGTGGAATGCTAGTTGTCTCTGTGATATTTTGCATGAAAGACCAGGATCTGCCCCTGGAAATTATATGAAAGACCATGGGGGTCGTTAGGTCATAAATTGTGGTTTATACTTTGCTTTTCATAAGCTATTATAGTTCTCGGTCTAGGACCGAAAACACCATGTTTTGGTGTTGTTTGGACCGAAATCGCATGTGATTTCGGTTAGGCGTAATATTGTTTTGTTTGGGTTTTGGGCTTAGGCTTTGTTATTAGGTCTAGGTATAAATAGTGTTATTTTAGCCTAGATAGGAGTGAGGGACGTTTCGGGGGCTGCCATAAGC